GGGATTGCCCCAACCCAGGTGCAATACCCAGGTTATACTACAAGAAGGGGCATTAAATGTGGCAAGAGAAGGCTTCGCTAAAACCGTGATGGTTTAAGGCCGGTCTAAAACCCAGGAGGGACTGAAAACACGCCAACATATTGGCCAGAGGAGCATCTGGTCTGACGCCCCAGGCTGTGGCGGCTGCGCCCTAACGACAGCGCTGGCTGAGCGCGGCGTGTTCCAAACCAGCTCCAGCATTCCTGGTGTCATTTCGTTCGGACAGCGTTTACGAGAAACCACACCTCTCCTTGACAGCGCCGGGTCAAGCTCGACGCCTCGCTCGTAGGGAGTACCGCCGTTCAGCAGCAGCTCGTGCGTCCTGGGGAGGGAGGGCGGCACGGTTAAAAGACAACGAGGTGGGGAGACGCGTGAAGAGCAGAGCGGCACCGCGAGAACAAAAGAAACCACCTGGCTCAAAGAAACAGCTGGCACGGCGCCTGCGGTTATGACGAGCGTTTTGTATGAAATGGTTACACCTAAGGAACCACAACTCCAATGGCAGGTTTGGAACTCGTGTTGCACTGGGAAACAAACTAATTCCTTTAAAAGGAATTAGCAACACTGACTCTCTCCCACTTGACTCCCCTATATTTCTTCTCCGAAATTTCACGAGTATTTCACTAAAAGGTTTTCGAGGAGCCATGGCTTAGGTACCACATTTTAGATGTGGAAGATGTAGAACGTGGAAGAGTAACGTAAGCCCAGTTCTGTCAAGAATCATAGAATCATAGAATCACAGACTGGTTTGGGTTGGAAGGGCCCTTAAAACCCATCCAGTTCCAACCCCCCTGCCATGGGCAGGGACACCTTCCACTAGACCAGGTTGCTCCAAGCCTCATCCAGCCTGGCCTTGAAGACATCCAGGGATGGGGCATCCACAGCTTCTCTGGGCAACCTGTTCCAGTGCCTCCCCATCCTCTCTGTGAAGAATTTCTTCCTGATATCTAATCTAAACCTCCCTGATTTCAATTTGTACCCGTTACCCCTTGTCCTATCACTACAGGCTCTTGTAAAAAGTCCTCTCCCAGCACCCTTGTAGCCCCTTCAGATACGGGAAAGCTGCAATGAGGTCTCCTCGGAGCAAGTCACTGCTGAAGCGAGCACACAGTTTCAATTTCAGTACTATGTTTACCTTCATGGAATAGAAAAACAATGGGGAAGACCTGAGCTAGAAGAGATTTGGAGACTTATAGAAGAGCAGAAGTCTCCCGCTGGGTTTTTTTGCCCTGTAATTCAAATATATTCAGAATACCCATATGTCTCTAGCTGTTTGGTAAGAACCAAGTATCACAAGTCTGATCTACCGGAATCATTCCTGTAAACGATCAGAAAGTTTTCCTACACTTCATAAAATTAAGAATAATAAAATAATAAAATACACATATTTCTAAGATTGTTGGACCCATCAACTAATCATAAACCATCTGAAAAATATTAGTTTATTCACAGTTTCCAAGTGATTATTCACAACAACTCTTACCTGCTTCCAAGTCTTGGAAGCCAATCTCCCTGTTTTTAAACGGGAAAGGGATTTACAGCGAAGTGTACATAAGGAAGAGGTCAGAATTAAAATGTATTAATGCCCCTGTCAGTGTGTAAGTATGAAATAGGAACTCCTAGCCTAAAATATAGGTATATAAAGATATAAATACAGAGAGGGAGAGGAGGGAAACCAACTCACTTGGAAGGAACAGGCATCCCGTTCGAAGTAAAAAGCTTCAGAAATGCCCAGCCGCAGCTTAGCTCTCCTCGTTCACCTGTTGACTAGGGGGAAAAAAAAAAAAAGGAAGAAAACCATAAATAAGTCAAGTAGCTAAACCAGAATGAGGAGCTGAACCACAAGCAATTATTTACAATAATCCCAGAAAAATGACAAAATGCTAAAAGGCCCAGATTTGTGGTATGCAATCGTTGACTAGGTCACATTCACGGGTGTTTGAAGATGTTTACCAAACAGCACACGCAGTTATGCTGAAGTTGATCGTCCTTTCTAAGAGATGAGGATTTATAAAGCCAAGAAATACACATTTAAGGGAAACCTAAGTGTATCGAGTCCTGAAAAAGAAGAAAAGCACAGATACAAAAGGTAAAAACACCCAAACCGGCATTGATGCTCTACAGAATGCAGGACAGGAAGAAGGAAGGGAAATAAATACACGCAGAGGATTTATCCGTCTGATTCCAGAGCCAACAGTTTCTAAGCCAGCGACCCTGTGCATCCGAAGGCTTTACGCACAGTGCCAGAGACGGCCTGGGAAAGGGAGCCGATCCTGCGTGCCAGCCCAGCCGCTTCCAGACCCCAAAAGCACCCGCAGCAACGGGCAGGGACTAGTAAACACTCCAGCTTTCATTTACACTTACTCTGTTAACAGTTGTGCATAACCTGGACTACTCGGTTACTCTACTTCTCCCCCCGCGCAACAGTTCTGCATCCCCACCACGCCGCGTCTCTCCGCCACATGTCCGCAGCGCCACGCTCCCACGCCCCGAGTCCGTGCAGGTGTTGGCGAACAAGAAGACCCAGCAACACGGCCAAGATCTTTCAGCACGGTGACCCCTTCCAAAAAGCCGCTGCACCCTCCAGATATCAGTGTCTCTCATGCTCCTGCACAGCGTATCAACCGCAGCTAGAAACCAGTGTCCTTATTATTTCACTGCAACTAAAGGCGCACTCATCTCCACTAGTCAGAAAATCTGGTATTCTCTGAGCATCTCTAAACATTCCAAACATTCCAAACATTCCAAACATCTCTCCCAGAAGCCAAAAGGAAGACAGTCTTGTAGTAAGCTAGGAAAAGTTCAGCTACACTTCCCATTTGGATCTCACAGTTGGCTGCTGGGATACTGCAGCTTGACACGGAATGCGAGACAGGTGGTTCCCTGCATAAACCCGCGCTCGGAATGATTGACACACTTACGCTGCGGATGTAAGTGATGCCGAGTTCAAATAACACACCGATGTCTGAAGACAGAGAGTCGGACCTGACGAAACAGTCACCATCGAGCAAGCTGGGCAAAATGCCGGTTACCTAGTACAGAGAGGAAAAACAAACCAAAAAAGTGAAGGTACCTATTAAAAAAACTCTGGCTTTGAAAGGCCATCGAACACATCGCTCGTTCACCGTTGGTTTTTGCATGAAAATGAAGCAAAAGCTTATGTGCAAAGTGGCAAACGCCTTCCCTTCTCCATGAAGGCCATGTAGCACGCGCCTGATAGCAATTCCAAGCCAGCCGGTGCCACCCCCTGGATCACCTGTTCCTCTTGCTACTTATTCCCACCAATGCTTTTCCCTGAAGTGTTTTTGCTAAAACACTTGGTTTAGTTTGCAATCGTGCACTTCAGCGAGACTTTTCTGCATGTTCCTTTTGGGTTTATTTCAACACAAATCATGGCATGAATGGATGTTGTAAATAGACAGGGACTGGCTACGTCACTTCCTGAGCAAGATACCCACCCTTGGAGAAAAGGTCCATGTCTGAGGACTTTTAGGTTGCCACGCAGCTCTCACTGTGTGGATGTTACTCAGCACCTGAAGTGGTGAAAAAAAGCTTTATGGAAAGTTTGAAGAAAACACAGTATTATCCCAGAATGATCCAACACTGCACACAACAGATAAAGTCGAAGAGCAAGAGTGATTTTATCAGATGGTTTCAGTCTCAGGAAATCTCTGAAGCCACGGAGCACTTTCCAACCATCTGTGCTTCGTATGCACCGGCCACGGCCCCTCTGTCCCCGAGAGCGTGGAGCACAGCAGGGAGAAACCCACCAGATCGCCAGCGCTGGACTCCGTGACGAAAAGCTGCTCTACGCATACGCACCGAGGGTCGAGGGCACTGGGGGGGTCTGAACGTCACCCTGACCCAGCTCAGGAGAGCCATCAGCCCAGAAAAGGCTCATCCCCACACACGTAAAGGAGCAAAGAGGCAGGTGGGGGAACCGAAATTATGGACTCGGAGAAATGGAGCTGCCGCCCCAGGACAGCCCTGCAGCCCCAGGGGCCAGGAGTGGCTCCCTGACGAGTCAACGGGAGCGGCCGGCGGCATCACCTTGCAGACTGCCAGGGGTATGAGACACTGGCCTGCAGGGGAGGGGCATTCTGGGACTGCACCTGACTTACTACAGGATGTTCAGGGGAGAAAACAAGGGCAGAAAAAGGGAGGGATCAAGGTGGTTTGTGGAGTAACCAGGTTGGGAAAATAGAGGGATAAGTACGCATGCGTGGCCATGCCTGGTGCCCGATCAACGCAGCCCGTCCTGCTTTCTCCTCCAACTCCATATTCCTGGGTGCACGGGCTCCGTATTCTGAATGGATGCGTGTGTGTACGCCTGGGGGCCTACGTGTCTACGTGCCGCAGCTGGCAGACCACCGGTCGCCGGAGGCCTACGTGTCTGCGGTGACTGCAGCCGGCAGCGAGGCCATGGCAACGTGTGATTGCAGTCCAGCATCAAGCCAGACTAATCGGAGAGCAAGTTCAGCACCTTGGGAGGCAGATAGTGCGTGTGCGCCTCTCTCCCCGAGTGAGAGAGCAGGAGGAGTTGGCTACTGGAGGGACTGGAGTGTGAAAGATCCGCACACCACGGAGAGTTATGTTGACAGCCAGACAACTTACCCGATTGCCATCGAAGAGGCAGAGCCGAACATGCCTACTGAGAACCTGTATACTGACTCCTGGGAGAGGAATTGTTTTACAGCTACATAAAGTAACAATCAGGGACACTCGAGTTGGTCTAGGAGAGATCTGAAACACAGACAACAGGAGGAGGATGAAATTTACAGGCTGCTCCCGAGTGTGGTGCCGGTTTGATTTTATTTACTGAGATGACAGAGCGTAGTGCGACGAAACGACCCTTGGAAGACACCCGATGTGACAACTTGTACCAATTTCTGCCTGTCAGAGAGCAGGATGTGACGACATCTGCTGCCTGAGGAGTCTGGACTGACACTGAAACCCATCACCTGATTCACAGCAGTACTTACCCACCAGTATGACACACGGCTGGCAATTCACACCCACAGACCCTGCCCAGGTCTCAAACCAGAAGCATCAAACCTGCCTTACCAGTAATACTCACCGTATTTTTTTCAGGGTTCCACACCAAGTCTTTGAAAGCCAACTGTGACGGAGTAAGTTCAGGCTGCAAAAAGTAACTTGCTCGAAACCGATTGCCTACAACAAGAGTAATTTTTAAAATTCTTACATTTTTTTAAATGATCTTCATTGCTACAAAAGGAACGACACCCAAAATTCAGGTGTGGCTAAAGTCCCTTTGAATACTGGACTGGCCAAACGAAACTACGGAGGGGTCTTCTACAGGCACCCTTGAAAAAGGGCACTTTACTACCTGTAAGTGTTCCGCAGTAGCCAGTGCCACAAGCACGGTAACTTAATTAACAGAAAGAGCTACTGAAACAGTTTTAAACAAATTCCAAGAAAACGGGAGATGTCTAATATACTGGGTGGAGAGATTCCAAAAGATCTCTTAGAAAAAGGGAAGATTAAAAAAATCATTGTTTCCTGCAGTGTCAACAGGAAGTATCTTCCAGAGGGGAACATCGCTGAAATCATCAGGAAGTTTGTCATTGCCTCCGTGAGGCCAGGATTTCAGAGAGACAAATTAAAACTTAACTGAAGAAGGGAAAAAAAAAAAGCACCTTTGGTACTTTGACAGGTCAACTATAGCCTGTACAGACTACCAAATGTAATTAAGCAATACTGATTTTAGTCCAATGGGCTAGTAACCAGGGTAAGAAACTTGCCACAGACACTCGAGAATCCTGCACTGCAATGATGATGAGAAAAGCTTTTACCTTCTTGTAAGAGCTGGAAAAGTGTGGATAGGCGGAATCCTGCAGGAATTGCTCCTGTACCAGCCAGTACCTCCGCTGTGTCATCCTATGGCA